TTTATGTTTACTTCTACAACCAGTCTCATCTAGAATTCAGGAATTTTTCCATAAATCTATAGCATCTCTAGAAAACACGGAGCATTGTCTACTCTACTATAGAAAATCTTCTTCTTAAATGAAGTAATATTTTAGAAGGCAACCAAAAACGCTCTTTCAGCAATTACATAAAAACAGATTTTGTAGCAGGACAATCATAGAGTCACTGAAAGGTTTCATCCGGTGCCTTTAGTTGGTGAAGGCAGGCTTACAGCTGCATGGTGCAGAGCCTAAGCTGACTGTAAACACAGAGTTGTGCAACTAGAAACAGGAACGGCTCTGTATGGAGCCTCCTTCCCTGTGGGGAAGAATCAGAGAAATAAACAGGCGTGTGTCGTCTTGTGATGCCAGATGTTTCTCTGGAGATTATAAAACCCTAAATATAAAACACAGCCTCTGATTCAAAGAAAACTGGAGGAGTTCTTGGTAAAGAAGGTAGATGTTCCACATATTACCTGAAAAAGTTCTCCTCAGCCACAGAGCTTTATTATCTAACATTCATTCACATTTAAACTAAAGAAAGGGCATATTATAATACGATTCTATGTGACAGCAAAACAAATAAAGCAATGCAAAAGTGTAAAATTAGAACATCTTATATCAGAGATCTGATTGTTCCTTATGTCCCTAACAGAGCACTTCGCTCTCAATCTGCAGGTTTACTACTGGTTCCTAGAATTTCTAAAAGTAGAATGGGAAGCAGTTCCTTTAGTTTTCAGGCTCCTCTCCTGTGGAACCAACTACCAGTTTGGCCTGTGAGGCAGACACCCTGTCTACTTTTAAGGCTGGGCTCAAAACTTTCCTTTTTGATAAAGCTTATAGTTAGAGTGGCTCAGGTTATCCTGAGTTATCTCTATAGTTATGCTGCTATAGGCTTAGACTGCTGGAGGACATAGGGACCCCTATTTTATCATTCTATCTCTATTCTCCCACTCTGCAGAATCTGTTAGTTCAATCTCTTCAATCTCTAACATTATGCTTTGAATCAATTTGACTGTATGATCTGGTTGAACTGTAAAGTGCCTTTAGATGACATGTGTTGTGAATTTGGTGCTATATAAATAAACTGAATTGAACTAAATAATTTATTGGGTGTGGAGGAAAGTTCATCGCTGTAGATCAACCCAAACCAAAGGTCTGCAGCCTGCAGCTCCAGGGCAACATTTGGCTCGGCCCACTTTGATGGCTCTTTAAAACTATAAACTAAGGTTTTAATCTATATCTTTGTCCATCTGTCATGTAAATACTCTGCTATTATATTGTAATATAAATACATTAAAAACAAAAATCTCATTATGCTGACTAAAATGAGCTTCCCTTTATTACCCAGCCCCCATCCTGAACTGTGGTAATGTGGTTGATTACTGGGCAACATTTGACAACAAACTGCTCCTCTGTGGAGCTGTAAAAATCACAGAGTGACTATGTGCTGTCAAATCCAACCTGACAGAGACAAATACCAGTAGCAGATGAGGGGAGTCCTTCTGAGACACCTGAGGAGTAAATTTGCACAAATTAAACCATAAGGTCTCCTTTAAAACCCGAAATGGGGCCAAAGGCTAAGGTAAGAAAATCAATAAAGCACAGAGATTAGATGCAAATTAAAAAGCAAAATGGAAGATGGGGAGACTAATCCTGTTCTTATATAATACTAATATCCTTCAGCTAAGTGCACTGACTGTATTATTATCCTTTTCTTTTTTTTCTGGATTGAGGCGACTTTGCATACAAATGTTCCTGCTCTGAAAAAAGCCACTATATGGTTTATGCCATCCACTATATACAATTATACTGACCCATTTAGGCGGTCTATATGTGCAAGATACAAGCTTATTGTATCTTGGCCTAATCTGGCCAGTCAGACATCAAATAAGACAATGTTCAAGCAGTCAGAGAAAGCAGCTCTCTTAAGAGAGCCTGGTTAGTCTGACCAGCGGCGCCTACAGAAATGTTTCACAATGCAGGTGAAGTGTCTTGCCCAAGGACACAACGACAATGAAAGTCGGAGTCGGGGCCTGAACCGTCAATCCTTCGATTTCAAGGCAAACTCCTACATCCAACGCCACTGTCGCCCCTTTGTTACAATATATTTCAATACCTGCCATGATGCTTTCATCATCACAATCTTAATCTAATTTTCTCAATTCTCATAACCTTGTTATACAACTAAGATTTTCTAATTCCACCGTATATATTTAAGATTCATTTAAGTCAGCTGTATGTCTCTATATGTGTAGCATCTTATCTACAAAGGAGATTCCTCAAAAGTCTAAACTCCTCCCTGAGAATAAACCTTTTTACGATTAGTTTTCTTATTGAATCTGTATTTATAATCCCTTTTGTTCATGTATCTATTTCCTGTTCTACATAAGTGTACACTTGTACTTAAACATAAGACATCATCTCATGTTGAAATGTGAAATTATACCTTGGTGTCATTTCCAAAATGATTGGTTTCTACTCTCAAGCGTGTAAACACGATAAACACAAACTACAAGCTACGATTGTCCAAACAAACCCGTCCAAACAATAACAAACACAAAACATGGCATTACATATTTCTCCATCAGCTCTTCTGGAAGACTGAAAAGCCTTTTTGTGCAACATCAACAAGTTCTTGCCTGTGGGAAAGAACTACAATGGCCAGCTTATATGGCAGACATGAATCATCCTCTCTGTTTGGGAGCTTTGTGGATCACCTTCTGTGAGGGCTGCTAATTATGGCACAAAAAGAGAGATCTAAGCAACAACAAAGCATCATCACTTTAAAATGAATTCTTTATTGAAGCTTTGTTAAAGAAGAGTGGAATATTTCTAGACTTTTCCTGAAGACTAAGGAATAAAGCTGCAACTAAGATTAGTTGCTAATCGATTAAAAATCTGATAGCAAATGTGCCTTAAAGATGATTTTAAACACAGTGTAAACAAAGTGAAGCTAAAATTATGCCAGTTTTAGGAGTTATGGGTAGAAAATAAACACAGAATTTTGTTTTTTCCATCTTAAATGCCAAAATGCCTATTTATCATTTGACTTTGACATAATTAGTGCTCTACACTGCATAAACCATCTAGAATTAAGTAAAAAATATTCTTAAATTGAGTGTATTTACCCTTAAAGGTGGGGTATGTGATGTTTTCTGGAGCATGTTTTTACCATACTGATTGAAAACCTCCTCACGAGCCCATTGCGCCAACTGAGATAGAATGTTTGGAAAAAAAACGAAATCTTTTAGTCCAGTGTAGAGGGCGTAGTCAGAGGAAAACGCAAACCAATAGAAGTAACTATCATCCCTACTTCTACTGGTTTCTGGCACGCCCATCAACCGTCAGCTCTGAGCTCTCCCCACCCCTCCCCCCTGCGCGTTCACAGACTCGTGACACCCCCCCCCCCCCCCCCCCAAGTGCCGCTGAAGGGAGGACCTGTTCGAATTTACAGACAGAACTCTTGTGGTCTCCTTATTTTCAAGGACTTCGAAGGGTCCAGTCTAGGTAGACCGCGTCCTTGGAGGATGCAGCCCAGGTTTTTGAACAGAGCCTCTGATTAAGAACAGGGCTGCCTGCACTGACGCGGCTCAGGGATTACGTCACACGGAGCGTCGTGCGCAGTGAAATCAGGACATTTCCTCACTTTCTAAAAAAAAACCCGGGACGCCCGGGACAGGACGTGAAATACGGATATGTCCCGGGAAATACGGACGTTTGGTCACCCTAATCAATACTTCTTGAAATGACAACCGTGACAACTTGTTTACGACCATATTGAATTGTTCAACACTCTTACCGTACTAGGAGAAGAAGACGCCATCATGGAAGTTAGCCTGTTATGTTGTGGTTAGCTAGTAATAGACATGAGCTTCTCGCCTCATCCCGAGTCACGTGCACTCGCGAGGTCTCGGCCTGTTTCTTTCTCGTTCTCGGGAACATCCGAACATTCTCGACTGACAGCAGGCGCGTTCATGTAATTTGGAGGCGTGGTTTCGTGGGGTGGGCTGAAGGTGTGTATTTTCAAAAATGTAGCTGGCAGGAACCGTTTATCCAGGATCATATACCCCACCTTTAATTTTAGCAGATAAGATGATTTGCCAATGGATTGAGTATTTGTACTCCTAAAAACAAGATAATTAGATAATATGCACTTGAAATAAGACAAAGCAATAGTCTTTTTCTCATAATAAATGTAAATTGTCTTGTTCCATTGGCAAATCTTCTCAATTACCTCCTTAATTCAAGAAAAATGCACTTAATTTAAGCAAAAATGACTCATTTAGATTTCCATTTTTTGCAGTGTAAGTGAGTTTGCTCTAAGTTATGTGTTAGTCTCTATGCTCTAGTTAGCAACCAATCAGTATCTAAATTAGGTGCAGATAATTTCAACAATTGAGTAATCATAATTAATCTGACAGCTTAAGCTCTACTATATATGGATATTAACATTAAAGTTGACTTCAGAAACACAAATTTTTTATCATATGGAGTTCTTTTGTTGAATCTTGAGTGTTGTGGTAAATATCGGCCAACAAACCATCAATGCGGGAGGCTGCCATAAAAATAGAAATTGGCAAAATTCTAGTTGTGGGTTCTGTTGTTTTTCTTTTTGAAACTTTCTGGAGGTTTGAAAACAAAGGAGCGTCTGTCAGAACCTGTTTCAGAATAACAGGTAAAGCTCAGGAAGATAAGAACAAAAATATTGAAAATGAGCCTTTAGTGAGTGTGAATGTGTGCATTCACAAGTTTCATCAGATCAAACTAAAGACATCGTTTTTTAAGAAACTAATTTTTATCCATGGATTAAGAATAGATGGATGGATTAAGAAATACAGTCTGGACATATTCTGTCAGTTCCCCTTCTTTTACACACATCCAGAGCTGGAAAATAGTCAAATAAATTAATTTGGAGTAACAGCTGCTATAGTAATATTTTTTTTCCAGAATCCCTGATGTCTAGAACCTCAGAAACTCACCTTTAGTCCATCGCTGGGGAGCCGGTAGCCAAACCGTGCAGGCATGTCCTCAAAGGTTTCTGTTTTGTTATCAAATGAGTACTGAAATAAATTCAAACACAAAAATCAGAAAATAAACAGAAGCACATCTCAAGGACGATCTAAAGCTCTGAACAAAACAGAACAATTCCTTCTTGTCTGTTAAAAACCATCCATTTGTGTGGGTTTTTTTTTTTTTATATGCCTACTCACAGCAGCGATATCGGCCTCCACAGGCAGCAGGTTGAGGAAGGCGAAGAGCTGCACGGTGAAGATGGTGTAAATCTGGGTGGCGGACAGCATCAGCATTCCCAGAGACAGCAGCATTTTGGCATCACGTTACAATCACCGTCTTCTACGCCGCTCATGAACATACAGAGCCGGAAAGACCCCACACACTGTCCTGCAGTGGGACTAATCACACCTAAAACAAAGACAGAAAAAAAAGAATTTTTTCTTTGATGAGATTATTTCAAGTTTTTAACATAAAGTCTACATCAAGGTAAACTTCCAGGTGTGAAAAAACAAAGCTAATTTTTCGGAAAAAATAAATCACTTAATGGTAAAATGGGGCAATCGGCTTTTGGGATTAACGGGACAAAAAATATAAGAAGAGTAAAACAAATAATAATTTATTTTTTTTTATAAAGTCAAAATGGTCAATCTAATCCAGGATTTTTACCTCCAAAAGTTATGTTCACAAAGAGAGTTGCTGCTGCAGCTTCCTGTTTGGCTGCATCAGGTGAAAAGAGTGCAACTCAAAGGGCGGCTATCAAAAACCATGGCATTCCAAGAGAAGTCCATCTATTCATTTACTATAAAGTTTTATGGGCACACAGTGAATCAAAACTGCAAGGAAAACATGTTGAAAGCTAAATATAAAAAATGAGGCACATTAAAGCAGAAAACATCATAAGTAGAATGCAAGCAAGCAAAGAAGAAGTGTGAGACATTCTTTAAGCTAGTTGTATTTATTTATATGCATTTTATACTTTTTGCCATATGTACATCAAAGCAAAATGTTTGCACAGGTTGAATCTAACTGCAGCCGTTAAGTCTTTAATACCTCTAACAGGAAAATCAAACTACTGCCAACAATTGAAAATGTCATTACAAACTGAATATATATTTTTATTGCCCCAAATGTTGAATCCTATTTTGCTTTTTATGAAATGAGGTTTGAATAATAACAGTGAAAAGATGGATGGTTAGTAGCAGGTGCGACACAGTGATCTGCTCAAATCGCTCGATATATTTAATCCAGCCGCTGATTAAAAATCAGGTTTTTATTTAGAATCACAGGTTTAAAACAAGCTTTGATGATGTTAAATAGAAAATGCTTGATATTTTCTTTATCCATCCATTTTTCTTCACGCTTATCCCAAACGGGGTCAGCTGCTCAATGGGGCAGTGGGTAGCACTGCTGCCTTTTAGCAAGAAGTTTCTGGGTTTGATTCCCAGCCTGGGGTCTTTCTGCATGGAGTTTGCATGTTCTCCTCCCACAGTCCAAAAACATGACTGTTAGGTCAGCTGGCTTCTCTAAATTCTCCTTAGGTGTGAGTGTGTGCGTGTGAATGGTTGGTTGTCTCTGTGTTGCCCTGCGATGGACTGGCAACCTGTCCAAGGTGGACCCCGCCTCTCGCCTGTAGACAGCTGGATATTTTCTTTATTTACCTTGTAAAGTTATATATATATAAATATATTTTTAAAGCCAGGTTATATGAATTGATTTCACCTATCAGCAACTGTTTTTCATCACAAAGTTGTTTAATCACTGCTGCTTACCTTATCAAGGCTGCACTTTAAAAAATAGTCCAGAGAGCTGTTCTTAACCAAATGTCTTTTTGTTTACACTTGTGTGTACAAAATAAAAGCGGTCTAAAGTCTAACTGTTTAATGAGCTTTTGCAAAGGCTAATATTCCAGGGATTTTACCAGTGAAAAAAATCCAACCTAACAATAACAAACATGACTTTTTACATGAAATAAAGGACTATAACAGATCATTGAACTAACATGATATGACCTTTAAATATGCATCACATTTTTCATTTAGGTAATCATCTGCAGGATCTTCAGATGTTAGAACTTTACCCAAGATCCAATGTAAACTGAGAAACATCTAAATATGAAATTCTGTAAATAAATTTCAACCTATACACGATCATCCATTTTTCTTTTCTTTTCTTTTGATGCTGAAAACATTCACATAAATATAGCTCACTGATGTTTAACTCTTTATTATGAACTAAAACAGTTTTAAAATTTGTTATGATTCATAAATAGAATAATTTCTAAAGTAGTTTGCAAATCAACCTGTTTCAAAACAGCCAATATTGGCTGTTTTGAAACAGATTGATTTGCAAACTACTTGTGAAATTATTCTTTTTATGCATCATAAGCAATAATAGCTATAATGGGAGAACAACATGTTTCATATGAGGAGGGGTCAGATGATGACTAAACATCAAGTGACAGTGATCACATTTTCTAAAGAAACGAAATGACATCATAATTACATGGTTATTAAATGCGAGGGATAAACTACTAACGACAAAACATTCAACACGATCAGAAAGAAAGTCTCAGCTACCGTCAAACTAAACCAACATTCAATAAAAAAATGCAGCAGCGTAATGCTACTAAAACCGTTAGAATGACGTGTTAACGTTAAGGACAAAGCGTTGCTGAAAAAATATGAAAGCGGATTCCATTAAAATGTTTCCGTTAGAGACCAAAACAGAGGAAATTAGCATGAGGCTAACACAGGCAGCTAACCTGGGTGTTTACCTCTCCTGCTTCTGCTCGCAGCTTTGCCTTTTTTCCCCGGTAGCTACCAGTTGTCAGCGACATTACTCTCCTTTACTGCGCATCGCCAAAAGAAATGAACCCAAAAATATTGACGGCGGATATTATTCATCCCGTTCGGACGAGGAGTCGATGAACATGACCATAAACGTTACAATTTAATCACCATCGATGGCTTCTTCTTGCTTCTCATGTGAGAGCACTAACTTCCGCCCCCTGCAGCGATCCTACATCAGCTCGTGATTGGACCAAAGACCTGTCAATCATCCTATACCGGAAAGGCCTCTGGATATAAATAGATCCACGTGACAGGCTAAACAGCCAATTGCCTTTACAGTCTGTTGGACTGTGGATTAGCTGTCAGCAGAATAGATTGGTCAAAAGGCCTAATATTTTTACATGTTACATGCAATGGATATTTTTCAAAAATTCATTACTGTTGAAATTTCCATAGCTGTATATTGGTTATTGCTACGGAAGAGGATTAGGGCCACTGGAAAAAAAAAAAAAAAAAAAAAGTTAACTGATTTTTAAATTTTATTTCAGTTTAGTATGAGAAAAAAGTCAGAATTCTGACTGAATTCTGACAATAAAAAAGTCAGACTTCTGAGATTAAAGTCAGAATTCTGAGAGAAAAAAAAGTCAGAAATATGAGATTAAAGTCAGAATTCTGAGAAAAAAAGACTTTTTCCCACACTAAACTGAAATAAAATTTAAAAATCAGCTAACTTTTTTTTTTTTTTTTTTTTTTTTCAGTGGCCCTAATCCTCTTCCGTATATTACCGAAGAGGATTAGGGCCACTGAATAATTTTTAAAAAGTAAACTGATTTTTTAATTTTATTTCCGTTTACTATGGTAAAAAAGAGATTAAAGTCAGAATTCTGAGATTTAAGTCAGAATCTAAAAACAATAAGGCGAGTCTACTTTTAAATAGATGCTAATCAGACATTTTATGTAGGGAATATAGTTTGCCAGCATAAATTTAAATGAATCCTAAATGACAGTTTGAACAAGTAATGTTATTACTCATTACTATCTTTAATGCAAAACACCAGTGGATAAATCTATGTGTGTGGTACAGACTTGAATAGTACTGCATGACTATCAGGATATATAATTTATTACACAAACAAATACTTTAATAGATATTTAAATATTTAATAATAACAGCATGATTTTAAAATATATTAAATAAATAAATACATTTAACAGTGTTTGTATTTTTATTTATAACATATAGATAAGATTTTATATTTTAATGTAGACACAGCTATTTACAACTTTAGTAGTTTGTAACGTATGTAATGATAACTTCAATGCAGAAATAACTTAAGATGTTTAATTCACCCTAGGTGAAGAGTATTCATAGTTAACATAGTTTATTTTTAAGATTAAACCTGGAATACCAGCAACTACTACAAGTTTAGGTGATTCACTTCGCAGTAATTCTCAAGAATATCATAGATTTTCTAAGAAATACGCAAATTCTTTCCTGGACTGTCTCTCCTGTTTACATTAAGACGCTTCTACTTTCTCTAAAAATGGGGGGGGGGGGGGGGGGGGGGGGAAATGCATTTTAACATGTATGGAGGAGGACCGGACCAAGGACCAACTCAGCTTCTAAACACAGCCCTTCCTCATTTGTATGATGAGGCAGAAATGCATACAGAAATGTAAAAACGACAGGCACAAATAAATAGCATTGAAGAAATATATAGGGTAAAAAAATACAAAGGAAGAATAAAATACACAAAAACATTATATCATGCACATAGATACTTAAAAAATAAGCAATAAATAGATTAAGTTGAAGATTATAAGGGACAATAAATAAATAGGTCATTATTACAAAGGTGAATAAATAAAGAAGCAAATTAAAAGAGATTCATACATTTATGTCTCACTGTCTTCCTACATTTAATAGTTTATTGTATTTTTGTGGGCAATTAATTGTATGTTTGTTTATTTATTGAACATTTATTTATTTCTTTATTTATTTTTTATTAATTATTTATTTTATTATTTATTTTTATTTATTAAATAATGCAGAGTTGGCCTAACCTGACAACAGCCAGATGCATGTCTCGCTCCGCCTAGCTCCACGGAGCGAGACATGCATCTGGCTGTTGTCAGGTTAGAGTTGGTCCTCTGAAAAAAAAAAAAAAAAACATGCACTTAGACAATGAGACAGCAGGGGACGCAGTTAAACCGCTCTTTGGAAACCTCGCGATGTTTTGAAGCAAAGCAGCGCTGATAGCAGGACTCTGGTCCAGTAGACAGAGAAGGGTTGTCAGACATGCTCAAGCTGTCTGTTCATGCTGGACCCACTCACTTATTCTACAGTTTTTAATCAACGTTGAGTTATGAAAGTCTGCCTTTTCAAATTATAACCCGGAAGACGGAAGTTACTGGCAAACATCAGGGAATCCAGGGATTGAAAGAGAAGGATTTAGCAGAAAGCAACCCCGGTGGGTCTGGCTCTCTGTGTCAGTGCGCGTGGGAATGGCAGCTCCCCGACCGATTAAAGGCATCCTGAAAAACAAAAACAGCGGCAGGAATTTTAGATCCCTGCCCGAGGAAGCGCCGGGGGAGAACACCGAACATGGCCCGGGACTCTCGGAGGATGAGCACCAGTAAGTTTCCCAGTCAGAGGGTGGCGCCCTGCTAGCTAAACTCCTGTTAGCCTCTGACTTGTTTGGCGGTTAACCTGCGCTCTCTAAGTTTTTATGAGTCTTTCTTTAGTGTCTCGAACCTCACCTCCCCCACAGATATAATATTTGTGTATTTTTGCGTTTAAACTTTCCCCAGAAAAGCGGTTCTCTGGTTAGCTAAGTCGTTAGCTGACAGGAAGTGAGTAAAATGATTATTATCATTAATTAATGATTAGCAAAACATGTAGGGCATAGTGAGTTCAAGAAGTGAAATATAGTGAACTATATCACCTTGCGAATGTATTTATATGCTTCTAGCACATTTTTTCATCTGGTTATATTACAGCCGAAGATGTTCAGCAAACTTATCTTTGTAAAAAGACAACATATATGCAAAGAGGATGGGAAATAATGCATTTTTAAAACTAATGGCACTGAATGAAATCCGCATACATAACCTAGAGGTTAGATCTGTAAAGGTTTATTAAACTACAGCAGTGAAAAAATAGCCTCATGAAGACAAAGGGACACTCCTGGGAGGTCAGAGGTTACCTGACTAAACCTGCAGGCCCCAAAGAAAACATTTAAGAAGTACTAAAATTGGAAAATATCCATCAGATCACTATCTTATTAGATTTTGAACAACTTTATTTACTGCTCAGCAGGACAAATTCAGAAAAACATTTTAATGTCAGTAAGCTAGATGAATAAGAACTAAATTAGTCCCACTATTTTTATTTTGTAAACTTACAATTGATGATCCAAATTTTCACCTTTATAGAAACCCCTGATATAGATGAGCAGATATGTATTGTTTGATAAATGTTGGGGATATTGTAATATCTTATTTTTTTTTTATATTATCACAATTAATTAACCTAAACCCTTTTTTTTATTCACTTTTGTAGCACAAATAATATTTTGTCAGAGCCAAAATTAGCAGGTGACACTTGAAAGGAACTAGATTTGTCTGTTTTTGTAAGGAATTTAGTAAAAAAAAATTACAACACCTGATAAAAGATAAATCTGCTCTTTAATATGATGACATAAGCATAAAAGTACAATTTATCTGCTTATGCAGTCACATAAAGTATCAATAAAGCATACTTAGTCAAAATGAATTCAAATAACCATATTTGTTTGAAATACATAAAGTTGATTGTTTGAATTGCATAAAGGTAACTGGATTATTATGCAACTCAAGCGAGTAACCTTAATCCTTTATAGGGCAAGTTACCAGCCATTCAGCAGAGATACTGCTACATGGCTGTATATCTTATTTTGGAATTTGACCAATTAGATGAGCCCTTGAATGATATATTAACTACTGTAAATTAAGATGGAAAAAAAAAGTTAACAAGGGGAAAAAAGGTAAAGTAAAAAAGTTAATAATCCTAGTTAACAATTATATTTAAGTTTATAAAGTAAAAAATGTAAGTGCCAGTATCAGCATTAATGCCTCTAAGGTTATTTTGGACCAAAAAATGTCTTTCTTTCACTCTCAGTGTTTTTTTTTTCATGAATTTCTTATAGAAGCCCTCTTTTAAATATATATATATATTCACAGAAGTTGACGTTTCATTTCATTACATTGAGATTTTTTTTTCCCCATCAAAATATCCATATTTTTTAAATGTTTCCGAAGGTAATTAGATTAAGTCCTAGATTCCAATAACACTATTGGCTTGAAATCTTGATTTTCAAAGTATTTCACCAAATGCCCTAGAAAGGGTTAAGTATTTGAAAGGAATACACCTATTAGTATTAATTCAGAATAATTTAAGTTTAATGATTCTACATGCATAAATCTGATGATTATGTATTTCAAATAATTAGGCTTTATTATACAAATTAACATGGACCCTGTAAGGTTTAGGTAATAGTTTAGAGTTAAAATCTAAAATAAAGGTAAATGGGAATTTGACTTGTTATAAAATTGCTTTAATGTCCATTACTATGTGTGTGTGTATATATATATATATATATACACACACAAAGGAAAACAGTTTGATAAGGCACATCAGGGTCTTCAACATTTCCTTTAACTTTGCATTTTAGGCTCCTGTCTAAGATGCACAATTGTATGAAAAATGTGAGTATGCTTTACATTCGTTTCAGTATCTGTTTGCATTTTAATGCAATTATGTAGTAAAATAGCAGCTTTCGTATGAAAAGATCTTGGAAGAAATCTGCATTCACTGTACCTTTAAGTCTATTCTGCAGCTCTATGCCTTCGCTCCACGTTAATGGTTTGAATGTTCAACTGGTGCAGTAGAGGGAGTTGCTTGGTAAATGTCACAGGAATATTTCAAAGACAAGAATCAAGGTATGGGGTATCATTCTCCTCTATACTGCCATGCAAATCATGACAAGCAGGTCTGGTTTTGCAGAGTCAGCTGTTCTGCTGCCCGATGGGCTCTTTGCCTCGGGGGTTCAGCTGATAAGTGTTGTAGCTGCCTGCCATCTCTTATGCCGTTGGTATCTGCAAGACACTTTTACTGCAGCCAGGAGGTGTAACGTCTTAAATCACAGAACTTGTAAATTTATTTCTTTGCTTATCTTGTCCATGGAAACCATCTCTCTCTCTCTGCATTCAGGAAATGTAGAGCATTCTCTATGAAAAGCATATTTGGTTGAAATTGGAATTAACTGATTGTAATATTTAGTTACCAAAATGATCAAGTGTAAAAAAAAGAAAAAAAAAAGTGGCAGAATATAGGATAATTATAATGTAATAAGTAGGAGAAACAATTTCTATGTGCATTTTTTACATCAATATTTATATAAAAGGATTAGGAGGATGTTCTTAGCTCTCCCTGCTGCCACCTCTAATGTATCTGTGTATCTGGGACGATCTATCCTAAAAAAAAAAAAAACTAACAAACATTAGTTATTGGCCATTTTCTAGTTTGTTTGTAGTCACTCTGCAGTTTACACTTTTAAAACTGTGCCTTCCAGCAAGTTTGAAACAAAGCAAAGCCCATCCTCCGAGTTGCTTTTAGGAGAGGATCTGCAGCAACATGTTATGAAATAAAAATTGTTGCAATCATTATGTTTTAACCAATGGACTTACAATATGCTGGAGAGAGTTTCTAAAAATAATTTAACTCGTATGAAAGCTTTTAAGGCCTTTATCCAAGCTGTTTAAGCCCAACGTTACAGCAGAGCAGATGAATTAACACCACCCACATGGCAAATGCTGCTAAATGTTTAATGCTAGTTGGAGATTCAGTTTATGTGTTCATTTTAATCCCTTTAAAAATTGTTTCCGCTATATATTGTCCAGTCATCTTCCAGGATAGATAAGTTATTCTTACAGTCCATCCGGTTGCCAGTAAAAGTCATCTGAGTTTCTGCAGCAGAAATTAGGCCAGAGCTTTATTTTCCCAGCAGTAAGTCAGGCCATTTCAGTGTTGCTACAAAAATAGTCTGTGTTTGAGCGGCAAAGAAGTGAAGGAACCGAGGATTTTGGAGGAATTCTGTGCGCAGCCAAGTGCCAAATCCAGAAAAAGGAATCAGCGCTGACCCATGTACTCTGCTGCTGCTGTGGGCTTTAAGTTTACACAAACAAACCCTGCAAAAAAACCATATGCAGGGGGCTGTTTGCATTCTTTAGCTCCAGCACCTCATTTTAAGTATTTTGTCTAATTTCTGTAGCAAATAACTTTCTCTGTTGTGTTTATGTGACATTATTTATGCTATTTTTTTATTACTATTATGTATAAGAGTTCAGTAAAGCTCTCCTATTAATTTAATGTCTGAAGAGAGTATCATTTCTTACAAAAGAGGATTAGGGCCACTGGAGAAAAAAAAAATTAACAGATTTTTACATTTTATTTCAGTTTATTATGGGAAAAAAAGTCAGAATTCTGACTTTTGTTTCTCAGAATTCTGACTTTTTCTGAGAATTCTGACTTTTTTTCTGAGAATTCTGTCTTTAATCTCAGAATTCTGACTTTAATCTCAGAATTCTGACTTTAATCTCAAAATTCTCACTTTTTTTCTCAGAATTCTGACTTTTTCTCTCAGAATTCTGACTTTTTCTCTCAGATCTCTGATTTTAATCTCAGAATTCTGTCTTTAATCTCAGAATTCTGACTTTAATCTCAAAATTCTCACTTTTTTTTCTCAGAATTCTGACTTTTTCCACATACTAAACTGAAATAAAATTTAAAAATCAGGTAACTTTTTTTTTTTTTTTTTCCAGTGGCCCTAATCCTCTTCCGTAATTTCTAATATACCTACAGAGGGGGAGATACGTATTTGATACTCTGACAAATTTTATAAATTTTCCTGCTTAAATTTAACGGAGTCTAGTTTTCATTGTTGTTTTTTAGTAAACTGTGAGGCATAATCTTAAAGAAATCCTCATCATATTAATTCAATTCAATTTCAATTCAGTTTATTTATATAGCGCCAAATTCACAACACATGTCATCTCAAGGCACTTTACAGTTCAACCAGATCATACAGTCAAATTGATACAAAGTTTTCTATCTAAGGAAAACCAGTTGATTGCATTGACTCATTGACTCAAATACAATCCCCCACACTAAGCATGCTTGTAGCGACAGTGGAGAGGAAAAACTCCCTTTTAACAGGAAGAAACCTCCAGCAGAACCAGGCTCAGTGTGAGCGGCCATCTGCCGAGGCCGACTGGGGTTCAAGGAGACAGAAGCAGAGATACAAAAAGCAGCTGTAAAAGGCGGCCCCGTCCAGGAAACACACAGCCAGGCAGACGAGCTCCAAGGCAGCTCCCATGCCAGAGGACGAAGAGAGCACATCCACTCAGTCACGGTCAGAGAAACAGGACCACACTGGAAAACCGGCCGATCTCCAACATCTATAAACAAGGGTGTTGATAGAAGCAGCACAGCTGATGTTTCTTTCCAGGATGACGTCACAGCCAAACAGGAACAGACGAGGCAAAGCTACTCTGAGGAAAAGCAGAGAGAGCAGAAGGTTAGAGATTGAACTAACAG